AGTTGTATACTCTTTCTATGGTTGCCCCCTGTGGTTGTAATGCAACCATTAGCTGAATGTACTATCAATAAAATTCTAAGTCGCAAGTACTCACCTTAATATTTAAAAAAAAAAAAAAAGAATTACGAATGCAGATTATGAATGCAGATCATCAAATCATATGCTATATCATGTTCTTTATATATATACTAAATACAATACTAAATATGATACTAAATAAAACTAACTAAAAACTAAACTAAAAACTAAAAAATTTGTATATTACATTTTGTGCATAATGCTTATGCAAGAATTAAAAGTCAGTTAGACAGATTAAAAAAAATTAATTTACCATTTACATCCTGCTTACATGGAATACACAGGATGTAAACAGTAAATATTGGATAACTAAAATATCAGATTGTTGAGTTTGTAATTTTATAATTTTAATGCAAGAATTAAAATTCATATTATAATTAAAATATAACCTGCTATGCAGATTATAAATTTTTGCATAGTGTTATACACAAAGTGTAATATACCTTTTCAACAACAACATTGTTGTTGATGTTAGGTTTTTACTTGGCAGCACTTATATGTATATTTCCTACAAATAATACAGAAAATTTCTTTACAAAACTCGATTAAAAACTGATATCAACTGTAAACCATTCTATTTGGAACTTTCCAAATTGTGTGATTGTTGGAGTGTAGCAGAGGATTTACATTTTCAGACTATAAAATTATATACTCTTACTTAATTTTACTAAATATTACACAAGATTTTTTGCATTATGTAATAAGTGATGCTTAGCAGCAAATATAATTTTTATTGATGAAAACAAAACATAGTTAAATCAAATGTTGTAATTTATCAAAAAGTAACCAAATTTCTAATGCATTCTCATCATAACTTACAACTTGACTATATTCATTTACAATTTCATAATATGCATTTTGATTATTAGAATTTAATATATTGATATTATTAATTTTTTTCTTCAGAGTTTTTAGAGTTTTCAGAGTTTTTGGATTCTTTCAAATTTTGAGAAAAATACATTCATTTTTGTTAATTTAATTTTCTTCTGAATTATCTGTTTCATTATTAATGGATAAAAACATTAATAGAAGAATTTTTTTCTCAACTTATTTCATTAGAGTTAGGTATAATACTATCTTGTTAAACAATTTGATTATGATTATTAAGTTCTTTTTGCTTAAAAGAGATATATTCTTTTTAAGTAATATGTCATTGAATGTATGTTAATTTAAATGCATAATTATTTATTAATCTACTCTGTTGTATTGTATATATGTTTGAAATTACTGACCAAAACTATTCATTATTAGTTAATGTTAATGGTATACTTATAATTTGAAAAGTAAAAAATGTTAATTCAGGAATTTTATTTTGAAAATTATTTCAAAAATATATTAAATTTTTAATCAGATAATATGAATAAAGATAGAAGCAAGACTTCACCTTAATACCAAAAAAAAGACTATAATATAGAACATATATTAAGAAGGTTTATAATATATATATATAATGTAACTTAAATAAGATTATAATATACTCAAAACTGAATAACTAAATAGACCCAAATTAGAAAAGTAACTGCAAACTATAACAAAAAAACCTCTGCAGACTTAGCAATAAAAAAATGAATAAATATATGATCTCAAACTTTACTCAAAACAATAACTCAATTGCAATGATTACACAAATTAGAATCTAGATAAGGCATAAGACCCTCTTAGTAAAGTTTGAGTTAGATGTAAAGCACCCTAACAAATGTTTTTAGATAGATATATAATACAATATAAATTAGTTACTTGTAATATAATTATATATTAAATAAAGAAACAAAACAAGACCTCACTTTAAAAAAAAAGTTTTTCTATAAGTTTGAATGCAGCTAGCTTACAATGAAAAGTTTTTTTATGCTAAGTACCCCTTCCTTGAGCTTCTAACAAAGATTATAGAGCAAGTTATTTTGGTTCTAATAGTAGTAGAATTATTTAAATTGGTTTAGTAAACTGCGAGTTATTGGAATTTTCTTCTTTATAACTATATGACTTTTACATATTGCCAGTATTCCAACATTATATATTAAATCTTCGATGATTTTTACTATGAAATTTATATCCTGATCTAATTATGATCATCACCTGTTTTTAATTACATAATAAAAACTTGGGAAAGTCTACGGACACCTACCAGTCATGTGATTTTGCATCTACCAAATCACGTGCTCATATACTAAATCCATATGTCATTATGATTATATTACAGTTATATAAAACTTGTGCAATACATACTATATAGTGATAATAGATACATATATACTGCCATATTCTAAAAATTTCAAAAACATAGCAAAGAACTTTCAAGCTTCAAAATAGTCAATATCGATTAAATTAATCAAAAATATATTGCAATTTAAAAAATTTAAATGTAAATTTTACAAGTATAAAATTTATTGTAGCCTTTAGAATCTTATAAACAAAATATTTATAAAATATACTTCATGAAGTTAAGGTTAAACTTTATGATTCTTTATTTCATTATTCTGTTTTGATAAAGTAATACATATAATAGTTAATTTTCATAACCCATTAGAATCAAATTCTACTAATATAATAATATTGAATATAACAATGCATATTACATCTAAGATAAATTAATAAGAACATTAAAGATTAATTGATTTTTTGTAAGAAAGTTGTTTTCTTTATTATTCTCAAGAGCTTTTTGAAAATGAGCAATCTGTTCTTCAAATAATCTTTTCCAAATTTTGCTTTTTTTTGAACTAATCTTTTCCTATCCCTGTACAATAGTTGGAACTGGAGCATTAAGCTTCAACTTTAAAGCAATATAGTGACTTTGCATGTCAATAAAAGCAAAAGGAATAGGTTGATTTCTGTTTAATGAAATATTGTCAGGTAAAAATGTTAGGCATTGACATTTACTAAAATAGTGAACTGGTCATTGGAATGCATTTGCAATTGGGTATTCAAAAGATGGCATTATCATCTAATAATCGATTTCACAAGGTCCTTTTTCCCATTGTACAATAGAAATAACACTATTGAATTCTGTTTCACCTTCAAGAAACAGCCTAATGTAATGGTTTTTTCTATTAACTAACTCATTGAAAATCATATGTCTTATAGTTGGCCACTCATCTTCGGACATTTCAAGTGACATAGCAATTGCGTGAAAATTACAATTTTCATCCCTATTAACATTTGTATAACTTAATATATACTCATGCATGAAATTTGGTATACTATCTTTATAGTAATTAATATTTTGACAATTCACAATAGGAGAAGAGTATAAACTATTGGCCTTATTTAGTTCAGATTGAGAATTATATAACAACTTTTTCTTTTTTTTTGCATTTAGGTCTTGTCTTTCACTCATTAGTTTTTCACGTTTGGTTTTTAAAGGACGACCTTTTGAAACAGAAATATTTGGTGCCTTAACAGGCTCAAAAAGGGGCATTGTAATCACTTGGTCAATATGAGCTATAAGCTCTGCCCTCATAGAAGTGTCATCTGGAAGTTGGTGAAATATTTCTTCAGCTTTAAGAAATATTTTATAAAATTCTGGATCATTTGTTGACAACTCTAGAGCAGGATGTGGAAGGTATTTGATATCAGAATGATGAAGGTGTCAGCACTTGTCAATAATATCTAAAGGGATTACACCCTCCTTAGAAATCATATGATGGCATAGAAGTTTATAATTGATCCTTATTGAGCATTGACAAGTTTCTGTATCTTTATATATTAATGAGTTTACTTCTATTGTGGCTAATGTTCTTTTTATTTTGTCAATTGCATATATTGATATATAACCAATAATCATACTAAAACGAGGATCATGTAGGGTGAATGGATTACATGCAACCTTATTAACACCTATATGTATGGCTACTTTGAGATGTTGCATTCGCATTCATTGATCAATTTTTTCAAAAACAGTTTCTAGTCCACTCGCTGTTTCTATTGCACATTTGAAAGCACTATGCGATGATTCTGCATGTGTGGTAGTCAAAATACCCATGTGATAGTAGTTTTTTGTAAATGCATAGATCCATAATTTAGAATCTTCCATTAAAGTTTTAACATATATCACAGGCTTTTTTGAATCATATGCTTTTTTTGCAGTATTAGTAATGGACTTTATCGCTACTTTTATATGTTCTTTATCAAATGCCAATTGTAATGTCTCAACTGCTTTTTTAAACTCTAAATAATCATCATCATTCTCAAAGAGCTTATGACAATTTGTTTTGAGATTTTGCTCTACCAAATGCCAAGTACATAACATTTTATCTGCTTCTGGAAAAATTTTTTTAGAAGCATTACAGAGTGCTTTGTCTCTATCTAACATGAACACACTTGGAAGACAACTATAGATATTATATACCCTATTACGAAGTGTTTTTAAAACCCATTTATAGGACTCTTCATTTTCATTTTCCATCTATGCCATTGCAATTTGGAATGTTTTCAATGAACCTTTTTTATTTGCAATATTGCTGATGCCAACTGTGGTTACAAGTGGATATTTGTATACATTCGTTTTATACGTAGAATCAATGATTAAAACTTCAGGACACTTCACTGTATGCTTTGCAGCTTCAATATGAGAAAAAAACAAATATGTTAAGTATCCATGTTGTGTTTTTAAAAGTTCTATTATATAATCACATTGTTGTAAAAGACGTAAAAGTTTCTGAGCTGAATCAGCATTAGGACCCTCATTAAGTACATACCTAATTCGTGCACGTTGATTTACAACATCCTTTGGCACAATGACACCACCATTACTAAACTGGTTAATAGCAGTAGTAATAATATGTGTAGGTGTGCCAATAATATGTAATTCATTCAGAAGTTTTTTTTGGTTAATATTCAATTTTCGATGTTGAGGAAAGCTTAATACTTCATCTGACAAAAGTAATGAATGATTATGAACATATTCAACCTTTGTGACAACCCATACCATAGATGATTGTTTTCTAATAGTAGTAGCTCGAATGCGAACAGGACAGCAACATCGTTTAGTTTTTTTATTTCTTTTACGAGATTCAGGTGTAATATTTCAATTATTTCACCATTTTTCTCCTTTTGTACACTGTAAAACAATGAAAGGTGATCTGCCATCACAGCTTTCTAAATTACTTTTACATCTTGAAAATGCAAAACCTTGAGCCTTGGCAGCAGCCTGTGCAGCTTCCTCCAAGGCTTCTAAGGTCAAAAATTCATCATTTACGCTTGGCATTGTAGTCATTTTGAAATGTATTAAATGATAACTGCAAAAAAAAAGACGCGTCGTAGATATAAAAACTATCGTATAGAATAATTTTTATTTATTACTATAATGGTTACGATCTTGGTAATATAACAATAATTATCGTCAAAAAATGATATGCTTGCAAAAAAACTATATTTTTGTGAACGGGTTAGTAAGCACAAGTGCAAATTGATAAAAAAAATTTAAATACTATGCATTGATGTAACCATGATATAATTATGATGGCATATGGTATGTCACGTGATCTGGTGGGTGCAAAATCACATGACTGGTGGGTGTCCGTAGACTTTCCCTAAAAACTTTTGCCATCCTAATCATAAATTCATGTGACTTAATAGTTCTAATGCCCTCGTCGAATATATTTTAGAACAGCATGACTATAGCCGTTAGATATTATTTTCAGTAGTTGTACTCGATCGAAATGGATAAATAGTCTCAGCGTTCCTCTGGGAATCGTCGTTCTTCATTCAATATAATCCAATAGAAGAGTAATTGTGTTTTCATATACGAGCAAATCATTCATATTCTTCTATAAGACTATTTGTATTTTCATATACACTAGTTTTAATAAACTCGTTAGAAAGATAGTTTGAGTTTAACAAGCGTAACAGTACTGTCTCATATTGATAAATTTTTATTACAACGATAAATAGATTTCTGTGAGGTTACATAACTGATGATAATTAAATTCTTCACGACTATATATAATAGATATCAGATATATATATATATGAGTATAGTATGCTAGTTTTATATACTCAAATGAGATTTTTGTAGTATACTCCACTACTTTATTGATACTTGTAAATTTTCTACCATAGTGACATTAACCAGAATGACCAATGCATAGATTACTCATTTACTGATTACAAAAAGAAATTTGATAATTTACTCTCATTATTATCCTACATTACTATTATTTTTCAATAGCAAGAGACGCATTCTTTTTAACAGAAGGTAGAAATGAAGTATCAAGAACGTATTCTTTATAGAATTGAAGAGATTTTTCCAAGTTATCGAGTCGTTTTAGTATTAAGGCATTTTCATCCTCTTTGATATCAGATTTTTCTTCGGTATCGAGTTCATCAGATTGTGAATCCATCGTAAATGGTAAGAGGTTTTTTTCATATTGATTTCTGAATGGTTTCAATCTTTGTGCAAAACCCCATGGTGAGATTAAGCCAAGTCCTAAAAAAAAAAAGTTTTTTTTAAGAGTAATATGTGAGTGAATTATTCAACTGTAACTTAATTTAAAACTTATAACTTACCAAACAAAAATACGTAAAACCCTATAATAGAACTCCAAATACCACCCAGTATACCTAGCAAGCTTAAAACCTATTTGTACAAAATAGTGATAGTTGCTAAATACATCTCTTTTTTTTTGTCTAAAAGAAAATTAACAGTTAATACGGCATCATACTTACAGTTCTGCTCCTATTATTACAATTAATTATAAAATGGTTAATAAGTAATGACAAAACATTGACAAAACGAATTTGTTTATTTTTACCTTTGCTCTTTTTCTTCCTTTACATAAGTGTTAGAATCTACTTGAAACCGTAACGTTGTAAAAAATGTTCCATTGGTCTCTGCAGTTATTAATCAATAATAATTAGAAATTTTAAAGAGCAAATAAATAACAATTTTTAATAGACATTACGGTTTGTTGTTAGAGGTGGAAATATAATAGTCTCTGTAATTAAGAAAATAGTTATATCGTAAGAAAATAATATTTTGGAAAAAAACTAAATGGGATTTCGTAATCAATGAAATCGTATTTCTTGAAATAATAAGATAACAGTCCCAAACTATGTGATGAATAGCATCACACGATTTCAGTAATAACAAGAAGGAGGTAAATACCTCACGTGATATTATTCATCACATAATTTGGGACGTCACAAATAGTTTGGGTAACACCGCTAAGCAACTGTGACGTCAGCATGTTCTAATAATAAATGAAAGTAAAGGTTTGTTATTTGACTAGGATTACTGTAAACTCTTGAAATAACGAGCATCTCGAATATGTCATGGGCATTATTTTGAAATAACAGATAAATAATATATAACTGACGTAATAAGTACCCATTAACTATTTCTTTTCCGAAACAATATTTATGCTCGTTATTTGGGAAATTTACGGTAGCAATATTCTTTCTTATCAGTTGTATCCTCGAATGACAAATAAAATTGAACGACAAAAAAATGGTATTGAAGTGGTTAGAAATGTAAGTCCTCATCATGTCATATGAAATGATAAATAACAGATTTTTTCCTCCGTGTCAGGGAAATAATTGAAGCATCTCCCTATTAACTAACAGCAGATGTATGAGTATAAAGTATATCACATCTACTGGAGGGATATTTCGTTATTTCTGTCGTCCTGAGGAATCAAATTTTTATTATGATTACGAAATGCCCTAATATAAACATTACTTACGCATATTTGATTCAATATAAGGTTGCTGAAAATATCTTATTTTACCGAAGTAGCTTAAAAAATCCGGAATTATATTGTACTTGATGGTTCTGGTAAATCTCCAATAATATATCTATATATATTTTTTTAAAATGTGTAAATCACCATTTTTCAAAAAAAATTATTAAATATACATACATTACTTTCACTTATAGGTTGTGATAAATAATATATATTTTTCCAATAAAGTGATTCTTCAAACGGGGTAAATGTTAATGTTGATGGATCACGGAAATAGGGATCATATTCTAAATCATTTATTTTATCTTCGTATTATTGCTACCAAACTCATAAAGCAACAAAGAACTTCTTAATTCAGAAACTTACCTTTATCAAATGCAGACATAAACAAGGAATTATTTTGATTGGATTTGTTATATGCTGGATCCATGATAAATATGCTGAGTTCAATCATTATTATTCCCGTTCTAGGTGTTACATCGTAATTTGGTAAAAATGCCCCACTGTAGGGAAGAGGAAGTTGAGAAGCATCATATATAGTTTTATTGATATAGTTGCTACAATCATTAACAGTTTCTAAAAAAAAAATTTGTTACATGCTTGGCGGAAAAACTATAGTAATTATGATAATGAAATACTCACGTTCGGTATCAGTGTTATTCGTCAGATAACATTCGATGGTAAAGTTACGTTCGTGAGAAAAATAGATATCTATATTAATTTAAAAAATTTTCACGTTATATATAAACTTATTTAAAGTTAATTATCGGTTTTGGTCATCAATTTCAGACACCCCTGTCAAGAATCCAAATATAAGAATCGATTAACAAGTAGTTAAAAATAGGTGCGCAGGGTGTCCGAAATTGATGACCAAAACCGATACGTATTATTTTTAACAATTTTATTACTTGGCAATGGCAATCTATTAGTTGTGGCGAAGGCCGTACTAATATTAGGATTTTCATTATGCATTTCAATGGATAATACAACAAGTATCGCAATGAATAATCCTATGGATGTGACAATAACCAAAAGTCGAAAAATTAAAAGCGACTTTGGCTCGTTTTTGTATATTTTTCCAAGTAAATTAAGCATGTTTTAGATCCTTTATTCACTCTTTATTTAAGAGAATGTATAGGGAAAAAATTACCGACTGTTCCAACATTCTTTAAATAAACATTTTGTGGTTTTACAACTTTTGCGAAATTTGATCTAAAAATATCAATGAACCATTAGATGTTTTGGTTTTTAAATGCTTAATACGGAAAATTTCTTCCTTTCTTGTTTACGGAATTCGATTAACGGGTATATCAATTGACCATTAAATATTTCATTGGACAATCTTGATTGATAAATATCATTGACTAAATGTTACGTATGTCTTTAAAAGGATTATTTTGAGCCTAATATCTTTGAATAAAAACAAATTCTGGATCTCAAGAAACATAAATAAATATTAGCCTCAAGTTTTCCGAAAAAAGCTTATCCACTTGTCTTACTACGTAATAATAAACAAATACTCTCGCTATATATCGATATTTTTCATGATTTCCATAAAAAATATCCTGTCTAGGTACGTACGCACAAAAATCGGTAATGCCTGATACAGAATCTTATGTCTATTTTTATCCAAATCTAACACTAGGCTTTGGTTTTACAGTGCCTTTAGGTAACAATCGTACTGAGGTGATAATTGTGAGCAAACTATAGAATTTGATACGTATACGTATTAAAGATCTCACTACTATTACATTATTTAACATTCTAAATATTTCAACTCATTATTGAGACATGAAATTACCTTGAAATTTTCACAAGTTGTTTATAAAATGCTTAATAAAATTATGTGTTTAAAATTCTTTATTAATATGTGAGTTTGAGGTATTCTCCTTGCTAAATTTCATTAATTATAACGAAAAAACTAAAAACATGCAAGTCAAATTTAATTCGAATTTTGCAAAAAATCGAACATATTTACTTTGAGATAGTACTGGCGCAGTGTTTCAATCAAAAGAAATTAGATAAATAAGTATAAATTTTGTGTGAAAATTTTAGAATTTGACGCTTTTCTTTATAATTAAGGGATACATATCATTTTATCGACAGTCACACCCCATTATGCAAGGCGACGATTAATATTTGTGTGGATGGATTGACTAAGTTGAGGCGCTCACGGGGTTTTGCATGGAAATTCCCAACGTGAGGTGCGATTAACCAGGGATGCCTATTTGTCCCTGACCTTTTTGGAGGTTTCTTTTTGGCCAAATCTCTTTTTTGTCTTGTGCGTTCATTTTTTTTTCTTTTTAATTTCGTTTTTGTTTTCTTTCAATCTAATTTCACTTTTTATTTTTTTTCTTTCTTCTTGTTTTGGCTTTTTGTTTTTTTTTTCTTTTTAATTTTGTTTTTTTTTATAGTTTTCACTTTTTAAAAAATTAAAAGGTTTTCAAAAATAGTTACAGGTTCAATTTTGGCATAAATTTAAAATTATGTTTATATGTAAATAGCATGTATGGTTTAGTTAAATTTTATGCATTAATTTAAAATTTTCTATATTGTTGCACGAAAACATCTTTAAATATAACTATAAAGTAACAAAAAGGTTTTAATTTTAAAATATGTCAAAACTGTTATGATGTTTACCTTAGTAATAGAATTATACTCAACTCAATCAAACCAAAAAATTTATAAAATTTTAAATATAAAATAAAATTGTGACATTTAGAAACAGTCATTTTTATGTTCAACTTAACAATTAACTCTTTAAATATTTTATATTTATATGATTTTGGAATTTTATTATTCTTTATTTAGACAATTTATAATAATGCTTATTATATTTTGTAAAGAATTGTTGCAAAAAAATTATAACACATTATATTAATATTATAAAAAATAAAGTTTATAAGTATGTTTGAAATTATAATATTTATAATTGAATTATTTTAATTAAAAAAATAATCTAATGTCTATTATAAGTTATAATCAATAAAATATTTTTAAATAAATCTTATTAATTTTATAATATACAATAATAACAATAATATATATTTCTGGTTTCTTATTATGAAATAATTTACTACTAATATAATTAAACATATTTGTGATATTCTTAAAATTACAATTTAATATAATTATTTAAAACATCCTATATCACAAAGTTAAATTAAATATTTAAATTAAATAGTTAAATGTGAATTCTTAAAAATACTATAAAATAAAAAAATATAATTATAAAATATTAATCAGAAAAATTATTTATAAAACTTTGTTTTTTTTACAATATTACTTAATGCATATAGTATTACAAAAAAAATTTTTATAAAATAATATTTGGTTACAAATTATTTAGTATATACTAGCATTGCAATTCTACTAATTCTATTATTTTTTAAAAAATAGAAATACAAAAAATACTAATAATGCCTTAAACAATTAATAATTTATAATAAAATCAACAAACTATCTAAAAAATAATAAATACAAAAATATTCAAATATTTTTAAAAAATATATTAATTGTTTTAGTAATATGTAAGTTATTTATAAAATAAAATCTGTAATAAATTTAAATTACTATAATTTTAATTAATAAATTAAAATTGTTTTTTTTAATATTAAAATAAGGTCTTGCTTATATTTTTATTAATAATTTTATCTATATGTTTTAGTACAAAAATGCTAAAATAAACTAAGATTATATATAATAAAATAAAAATTATATGCAAGAATAAAAATTCAGACTAGTTTATCTGGACCTAAACTGGAGTTAAAATTGTTTTTTAAAGTTGGTTTATTAATTATAATAAGATTAATAATTTAACTAAAAATTTTTAAGAATAGATTTTAAAAATCTAAAATTTGAATTTTAAATATTATAAATATAAATAAAAAAGAATTTTTTAAAATAGAATAACTTTTATATTAGTCTAAAAGTTAATTTTATTAAGCTGTAGTTTGTAAATTTTTTTTTTAAATATTAAAGATATAGTTTGTAAATTTATATTAAAATTATAATTAATATTAATAATAAAAGGTTATTTAGAATTATAAATAATTTGAAATAAAGATTAAAAAAAAATTTATAGATAGTTTATAATATAAATAAAATATATTATAATATAAAAAACAAATAAAAAAATAAGAATTAAATAAATAAATTGAGTTTTTTAAAATTATTAAAAAATTTTAAGAGTTTTAGTAAATTTTTTAGATTTTTTTAAAAAATTTAAAATTTCTAAAAAGATCAATAAAATTTTTAAAAAAATAGGTTAGATAAAAGTTCAAAAAAAAATAATAATACATTAATAAGTTTTAATTTATTAAAGATAAAATTTATATTAAAATAACTGTCTTAGTAAGTTAAATACTTTTTGTTTAATAAAAGAATACAAGTTTATTTAGGCTATTCAAAGTTGATTCTTTGGTTAATGTCATTCTTTCCTTAGCTGAAGCTCTAAGAAATGAACAACCAATCAAAATTCTGAATAATTCTTGATAATCTCTTGATTTACATTAACTAATCAAATTGTTTCATATTTGTTTATTCTATATATTTATTTAATTTTATCTCTTCTCTCTACTCAAGAGTTCTAAAAGTAATATTAACTAAAAATTTAATTGCAAGCAGCCTTAGTAAAATTAAAAAAATTAAAAAAGTATATTTTTTAAAAAAGGTAATATAGAGAGTGTGACAACTTAGTAAAGTGGATAAGTTGTTAATTCTTTAAGTAGTAGATTGTGAATTCAAAACTTATTAATAGTAAAAATTTGGATAATTACTTATATAGTATATAGATAGTATTATAGTCATAGCATTCTATTAATTAGTTAGAATAAGTTACTTGTAACAACAATTATATTAGTATAACTGGCAGATTATAGGACATCTGTATAACTGAGTATAACTGAGTATACAGAAAAATACAAACTACTAATAGGCAGTATAAACTTAAGATAAGTTCTTGTAGTCTTGTAAATTTATAAAACTAAGAAGCTAGAGTCTACTTGAAAAAATCTAAATAAAAAAGTAACACAAATCTTTGACAATATTATTGTAAAGACTAGATCTAGGAAATAGATACCAATATGAAGAAATCAGATAAATAAGAACTTTAAATAAGAAATACTACCAACTAAGTTATTAGAAGCTTCAAATCAAAAGAAAAAAATATCAGATATTGTAATTTTAATATAATAAGGACAGGTTACAGTTCTTTTAGGCTATCTGAATTAAGAGTTTGATACTAAAAACAAAAGTATATTATAAGTACTAAAAATATGCTATAAAGTAGATATTAGGGTTTGAGTAAATTTTACAAGAATGGGTCCTGTTAACAAAAACTGAATATAGGTAGTTAGTTAGCAAAAAGGTTTTCTGAAGTTATACAGTCTGATAATGTACTTTAAAATATATAACAACTTAATAGATTAGAGTTAGATTAGATAGCACTTAGTTATATAGAAACTTATATAGTTATCTGTTAGATGTAGTATAGAGATTAGAGTGTTTAATTAAGTAATCTTTTAATAGATTACAGATATAGCAGCTAGTATAAAACCTATGGGCAAACTATTTAAATAAATAATATATTTTTTTTAATGTTAATGGTGAGGCTATGCCTCTATCTTTATTAAATATTTAACTAAGATTTTACATAAAGTTTAAATCTACTTTTAAAATATTATAGCAAGAATAGAAGCTCAGACTAAT